GAGATGTTGGCAATAATGCACCACCATACATTTGCAATTCGCCAATTCAAAATGAAAAGATAATGAAGATGAAAAGGCGGTTAAAAAAAAAGCCGTCGTCACTTCCAGTAAGTGCAAAACGTTAGTGCGCAGTTTGAGACAACACTACCCTGTTGAAATAAGTGCACCACACAAGAAGTACGTAGTGTACATGGTGTACTACAATGAAGTGTACTAATATAAGTTTGCGATTAGAGACACACTGTTTGTGTTGCTTGTCCAAGTATGTTTTTCTGTAAGATGAGCATTCTAATGAGGTAAAAGCTACAATAAAAGTATGCTACCTAGTTGGCGACCAGAAAAGAGAAGCTTAAGTGAAATCAAGGACTTATTGTTTAACAAAATTACTACCAATTTCAAGTGGTAGCTAAATCTGCATATTTGTCATGCGAGAACGGAAAGCCTGACAGCTGTAACAACAGTAACTAAGCGGGGGTGAGGCTTAGCGAACAGTCATTTGCTCCCACAACAAACTAAATATTTAGTAGGCAACCAAACCATTTTAGTACTTTGAAAATTATAGTCAGAGTTAGTAACTCGGGGGAACGTGGGTCAAGGTTTACCTATCATTTAATAGTTTCATAGCAAGTGTGTGTTACAGCTAGTTTATAGTCAATAAGTATGGTTAGATACAGTAATGCTATTGTGTGTATTTGAAAACAAAAGTTACACATTTAAAGCAAAGTGACAGACGTCTTTCCACAGATCAGTCTCTCCAAGTTAACTGGGTGCTGTCATACTTTATCATACAAATTAGTATTAGATTACATTTGTTAATTATGATTATGAGTTAGCATTAAAGAGGAACGCTACCATATTGGCGTCAGATATATGAAACCAATGAATGTCGAAACTGGCATTCAGGTCTCATGGACAAGTTCAGTCTTATGAAAGGTGGCATAAAGACTTGCTAACATAACTGAAGTGCAGCACTGTCAGCAGCGTGTTAGACGGCACAGAAGGGGCTCTCCGTTGTTGAATCTAGATCAGATCAGAGAAAGATCCAATTATTAAAGGCGACATGGGGCCACAGGAGCCCGGCTATCTTGCAGTTGGTGATGACTGGGATGTTTGCTGCGTAGTATTGTTGCAGAGCCAGAGGGGCCATCAGCACCACGACTGTATAGATTACAGATAGAAAACTATGCTCTCTAACGTGCAGATTCTCTTCATGTTATCCAAAGGATTTTGGATCTAAAAGGACATTTTGGGAAATATTCACTTTATTGATGGGAAGGTTGGTTCCTCTCTCATGTCTGTACGCTACATGTGCAGCTACTATGTAGCCAGCAGCTGGTTAGTTGGTTTTTAAAACACACTTCAGTTTTCACAGGAAATTTAACGTTTACATACAGTCTCTTTCAAAATAAACGCACTATGTCGTATGGTTGGGTTGAGGTAAAAAGAAGAAGGTTTGGCTTTAGAATCTTACGGGACGTGAACACTGCTCTCACAGGTGAAAGTTGGTGTTTGTTGGACCCACCTGCCCCAGTCTGACTTTCGCCCTTAACTTTCATCCCTGATGCTGCTGGGCACCGTTAAACTATAACGGCAACCAGCCGCCTATCATGCCAACGTTAAAGGACGCCTTTTTCATTGGTTTCTGAGGCCACAAGTCACTGCCCAAGCACTGGATTTCGACGACTTCGGAGTGAGATCAGGCTCCACAACTAATGATTGCCCTATGGTTTTAATGCAAAAGGATTTTTTCAATCATTTATTGGTGAGGTATTTCACATACACAAGTCGATGGTGTGCCATGTCACTCGCCGGGTTTCAAACACTCTCACCCTTCGGCGAACAGTGTGGTGAAGTTCCCGTCCAAACGTTGCCTCCTACATTTGTTGCTTCATGTTATTTATTTTTCAGTTTGTTTTTTCTTTTATTGAACTCCTCTAGAAGTCTGATTTTTCTTCCTCCCACCATTTTGTTTTTTGTCTTCTTATCTTCTGCCATTTTTTTTAATATCAGGCTGACTTTGGAGACGCTACTTAGGTGCGACAACAGGAAGCGATAGTTATCACAAGTGCCTGTTCAAGCAAACAAATGGTCTCCATGGAAACAGCAGAATTTCATTGTTGTAAAATCTCTTTCAGTGCAGTAAATGCCTGAACGCCTTTCCTTGACTAAGGAAACCTTTTACAAGATTCTGTGCAACACCCTTAAGTTATTTCCTCAGCTAAGGAAAAACTAAACCTTAAGTGTCATACGTAAGGAGTAAACTAAAGGTGCTTTGTGCAACTGGTCCTAGAAGCTTAAGCTAACTGTTCCCCTTTGCTTCCACTCTTTATGCTAAGCTAAGCTAATCAGCTGCTGGTTGTGGCTTCATATTTAGTGTGCAGATATGAGAGTGTATCAATCTTCTCATCTGATTCTTGGCAAGAAAGCAAATCAAACTATTTCCCAAAATGTCAAACCTTTTGACCCTGCCTTTAAAGTGACACAGAGTCAAAATACAACCCAAGTGAAAGCCAGATTTGTCCTGAATTGTTAACAAATTCAGTAATTAGTAAATATATATGTGTAGTAGGGAAGTAGGCTTTAGTAACACATATGGAAGGCACGTGTTCTGCAGGTTTCAACCGTCCTGGCCCGATGTTAAATGGTTTGCACTTATCAAACCTGCTGTAAAATACTTCTCTTAGATGGGTTTTTGTGTAAAAGTAAATACACTTGGAATATTTGCAACAGCTATGTGGCCTAACAACTATGACAAAAAATATACCCTTCTCCTCCATCATGAAAGAAAAAAAATATGATCTCAGGAGTATATCCCCATCTGGAATACTGGACTACATGGAGCATTTATTCAGGTAAGTGACTGCTAATCTTTTATAATCCGTTGTTAAGTGCTTTTATCTGTAGACAAATTGTGGCTGGATAATGGCTGGGTCACTGACTGTATGAGAAGGGGAAGGAACAGCATGTGCCTTCAGTCCCTAAGAACTGCATTCATCTGCCACCAAAGGATTGCTGACAAAAAGGTAAACTCCGCCATTAGAGTTTATTTTAATGTTCGGTCGCTCAACATTCTGGACAGCGGTCTCAAAACAAAAGATGTGTCATCTCACTCTGCATTTATACCTGGGCGACATTAAATAAAAGGAAATGATTAACACCAAATTATTTGGTGTACTTTTGGTTTAGGGCTGTTTTTCAATGTTTTGGTCTCTGCCTTTTAACTCTAAGTAAGGGAAATAAAAAGGCTCATTCCCTTTTCACCTAGAGCATGACCGATTCATCGGCATTGACAATATTATTGGCTAATGTTTGTAGTGGCGCATATATCATTTTATTCTTTGTTCAACATCCAGTAAGTAGCAAAAAAATAATAACCCAATACATGTCTTTATTATGGTAACCCTGAGGGTGAATACACAACGACATTTCGGAAACATGTTGTAGTGTTTTGTGAAATGTTGTGTTTTGTCAACACACTCTCACTCCGACCTCGTCACATATTGACGTTTGGTCATGGACTTTCCACGTCCACATATGACGTCCAAGGTACCCTGGGTGTGTTGGTTGTTGACGTTCTGGGACGGCGTGTCAACTTCAGCCTGTTACATGCACTGTCTGTTTTCAAAATACACTTCTGTTTTCTTAGGAACTTTACCATTTACCTTCAGTTTCTTTAAAAATAGAAGCGCTACGTTGGTACAACACCGTGAATTGACGTTTTTTTTGTCCTTCAACAACAAAAGCACGTGGTTAGGTTTAGGAAAAAAGAACAGGGTTTGGCTTTATAATTTTACGGAAGGCGAACACCGCTCTCCCGGGTGAAGTTCGGCGTTTCTTGGATCCATCAGCCACTCCCACCCGCCCCACTTGGACTTTCGCCGCCTTAACTTTCGTTCTTGTCTCATCACATTTCCCCCTGATGCCATCAGGTGCTGTTAAACTGTAATGTCGACCGGACGCGTATCATGCCAACATTCAAGGACAGCTTTTTTCATCTGTGTCTGATGGCACAAGTCGCTGCCCAAGCACTGGATTTCAATGACTTCAGAGTGAGACTGGGTTGGTTTTGTAAAATGCTGTGTTTTCTGAAATGTTGCATTTTGATCCTAAGGGCCACCGTACTTTATTGCAGTTCTTCATTAACCATATTTTAAGCAATCCTCATCAAGAATGTGTCCTGTAAATTTTGTTTATATTTAAAAGAAGAAAAAAAAATCCAATAAATCCTGTATCGGTCTAGAGGATAGACTTCAAAGAAGTGTGGAGACTGTTATAAGAGCGCATTTATGCCTATGGGTTTGGAATGACATGTTCAGCTACCATATAAGGGTGTAATGTTTAAGTGTCCCTATAATTTTGGCCAAGTAGTGTATATTCTTACTTCCTCTGCAAGCTTGACAAGTGATGAGATCAAATTTATTCCTTCCATTAACCTGAAAGAGACTAATTTTCACCTAGAAGGCTTTTTCTTTCTGTCCAAAATACATAATTTTAGTCTAAAGATGCTGGCCAGAATGTGGAGCAACCAAGCACATAAATTAAATTTGTGTTCAGACTGAATGCAAGCGAACTTTTGCTTCTTTTGGTGCTTTTCGTGGTCCACTCTAGCGAGTTAACAATACACTGTCCTGGCGATTTAATCAAAATATGGCTGGAACTCCAGGTGTTTCTGTTTTTTGCACTGCCAACAATTAACTGTGTCCTGCACGGTGCAGATTCATTTTACATTCAGTCTGAACACATCTCATCAGCCTGCAGCTCTGGCTTCATGATGACTGATCAGTGGTCACAATGGAGAGGATGCAGTTTTGCGCTTTACCTACAGCACTGAGGAGCAGGGCTTGTGTTTAGTGTGCCGGCTTACATTTGGAGACATTTCGGCTTAGGGCAGAGAGCACCACTCCTCCAACAGAGTTTCAATAATCACGTAACGACTGCAGGAGCCACAACTACCTACTATCAAAGAAAGACATGTTGAAGGCAGAGGTGGGTGGGTGGGTGGGTGGGTGGGCTGAGGGGCAGGACTGAATAAATGAAGGAGATGGTTTGGTTTGGGTCACCTCTTCAGATGGTGGAATTGTGGGGCAGGTGAGGCACTGCCACTCCAGGCCTCTGGTTGGAGTGGCGCTGCATGTGCGGCAGCAAGTGGCCAGAGGGTAACAGGCCTAGCAGCTCCTTGGATGCGCCTGGCCTCCTTCGGCCCCATCGGCGACTACCATAACCAAGCCTGCGGCTTCGCCTCACTGCCTGGCCTAACAGCATGGCTGTCTGGGGCCACAGTGGGTCCGTGAAGCTAGAGATGCTGGCCTCCTGAAAGGGGATACAGGACCTGCGCCTCAGTGGGCGTTCTTCTCGATAGATGTAGGAGGCTGTGAAGAGGTCGGGGCTAAAGTTGGAGAAGGGCTGCTGTGAGCCCCCGGTCAGGGTGATGCGGCCCTCCAGTGACGGCCCCAGCAGGCTGAGGCTAGTTCTGTCCGTGAGCGAGTCCGTTCGGTCTTCGTAGCTGAGATCGGCAGGGGCTGAGCACTGCTGCAGGGGCCAACCTCCGCGACCCTTCCCCCCGATGTCCGCAGTGCTGCCTCCCTCACCACCATCACGCTCTACTCTGACTGCCTCTTCTTCCTCCTCATCCTCCTCTTCCTGTTCCTCCTCCTCCACCTCTGCTACCTCCTCCTCCTCCTCTTCCACCTCTCCCTCTACAACACCCTCCTCCTCGTCCTCTGTGCCAGTGGGTGGTGGGGTGCGTGGGTCCCGCAAGAAGACCACTATGACTGTGATATTATCACTAGAGCCTGCGTCACGGGCTGAGGCCACCAGCTTGTGGGCTACCATGGTGGTGTCTCCGGAGTTCTCCTGGAGGTGGTCGCTGACCACCCGCACCGCCTCGTCTGGACCCACGGTGTCCCAGAAGCCATCACAGGCCAGAATCAGGTAGTCCTCAGTACCATCCAATGGGAAGATACCATGGTCTGCATCACCACAGATGTAGGGCTTATGCTCCGAATCACCTGACAACACAGGTAACAGATTATTCTGTTAGTGTCTGCTCATACAGGCATTCAGGACAGAAAAGTGGAACAAGGAGATTCTCAGCTGGCAAAGCTAAAGGTCCAGTGTGTAGGATTTTGGGGGACATACTGGTGGAAATGGAATATAATATAATAAGTATGTTTTCTTCAGTGTATAATCACATAAAAAAAAATCACTGTGTTTTCTTTACCACAGAATGAGCTTTTCATATCTACATAGGGAGCAGGTCATCGTCTATGGAGATCGCTATGGTGTTCCTCCATGTGTCTACAATAGTCTAGCACCGACAAACCAAACATTGGCTCTAGAGAGGGACATTTGTGTTTTCTTGTCAGCCACCATACTTGGTGGCTTTGCAATGAGCCGAACAGCATCGGAAAAACACTGCTTTCAATGTAAAACTGATTTATTCAATGTTTTTACCTGTTTAAATCACCTGGTCCGTTTGTTTTGAAGAGGTACACATATGGAAGGTTTAATGCTATATCGTTAACTGGCAAATTACGTGACAATGCATTTCAGGCAATTTTACAGAGTAACTAGTAATGTAATGAGTATTGTAACTAATTACTTTCTCCAGGGAGTAATCAAGTAAAGTAAGGGATTACTTTTTTCCTGTGTAATGTGTAATACATTACTTTTTTGAGTAACGACCCCCAACACTGCTGCTAGATGCCACTAAATCCTACACACTGCTCTTTTAAAGTAAAAAACAAGTAAAACCATGCATGAAAGAGCAACATGTGGTTATACTGAGTATCAACAGTACCTATTGCTCTGGATACAGACAGACTGCCGTTAACCCTCCATGTGCCAAACCAGATCACACAGCCTCCCAGAGCCTCGATCCTCTGCTTCTCATCCTGCAGACACACATGAAGCACAGCTGGCTTTAGTGGTGATGAATGTCACATGCTGCGCAGTTTTTTAACCTTCAAATGAGCTAATATTTCAGTTCAATTCAATTGTATTCATATAGCCCAAAATCACAAATCACAATTAGCTTCAGACCACTTCTCCACTCCTCCCACCTCCCTCCACCCACAGAGACCCATCACTCTTCCGTCATCTCAGTTGTTGTACAATGTGTGCTACAGTTTGGACTGTTGTGCTACATTTGTGTTGCAAGATATGATATGAGGTGTTCACTTCAAGTCCACGGTGCGGTTCACTGAATCTGTGCTCAGTGAAAATAAAGCCCTCCAGGTTTGCTTTGCTCTTTGCCCTCTTGTATTTAGCCCTCTAGATCACATGCTGTTGACTTGGGATGCTTGAAATAACGGACGAAACACACATCGGCTTGTAACGCTTGCAAGGACACAGAACCAGGAGTAGTTTGATCCACGGAAGATATTGCACGTCTCCAGATGTGGAATGTAGAATATATAAAACAGACACAGTCTACAGCACAGGAACACTAAGGTTTTCCTCCTATTTTAAGTTCATCTGACAGCGAGGGGCTTCATAACCTCACTGCAGTGACATGTCAAAGTGAAAACAAAACTACATAAATATATATTATATATAGGCTATAGTGTGACCAGAAAGAGAGCTGGGTCCCTTTTCTGATGGTCCACTTTAAGAGAGCTGAGTTCGGTTCATTTAAAAAGGACTATATGTGAAAAAAAGCCCTCGGGGTAGGGACAGTTGTGCTCTTCCATAAAATGAGAATTAGGTTGTTTTCACACTTGGTCCTTTTTAAATGAACTGAACCCAGTCCTCTTCAAACTTGGTCCTTTTTAAATGAACTCAGACCTCTTAAAGTGGACCCAAAAGTGGACCGACGGAAAAGGGACTCAGTTCTTCTTGCGTTCACATTGTCAGTTCATTTGAAAAAGGACTCAGTTCTCTCTCTGGCCATCTTCAGCTCTGATGGGGCCTCAGTCCTCTTTCTATTCACATGATAGCCTGTATATAATATATACGAAGTAGTTTTGTTTTTACTTTGATGTAGCACTGTTGTGTGGTTATGAATTTAAAATTGGAGGAAAACCTTGCCGTTTCTTTGCGTTGTGGACAGCTGATGTTTTCCTCCTTCTATATCTGGGGGAGTGCAGTTGTTTCATCGTCAGACCAAAGTGCTCCTCGTCCACTAGTTGTGCTGTCGTTACCTGGGGCCATGGCTCTGTTGTGTTATTATGCGTCCCACTGAAATAGCGTGTGATCTGTCTACGGCAAGCCTGGAGGGCTACAATACAAAGCAAAAGGTGAAGTGGAGCCGGAGCGTTTTGTGTTCACAAGGCACAGGTTAAGCGAACCTCTTCTTAGAGTGTTCACATTTGCGCAAAAAATTCTGAGTCACCGCTCTGAGTCCACTTCGAGGGCTGAAAAGGACCAAGTGTGAAAAAACCCTTAATTTCTTGCCGTTATGAGGCAGTAAGAGAGCAAACGCAGCTGTGTCACTTTCTTTCTTCAGCTTTCCACGAATAATGAGCAGAGGCTTGATCATAGTGTTCATGACCTCAGACATAATGCTGCAGGTATCACCCCAAAAAAGATTGAAGCTTTGGACATAGAGGTGTTGCCACACATGATGTTTGTGATGTAACTATTTTTAATCTGCACAAAACAGGACTTTGGTGCAAACAACATTAATAATCTTGAAACCTATTTTTGTCATACTGTACTGGAGATACACGTGACCCCATGTCGTAATAATCTAGGCCGCTGTAATTGGAAGTGATAGATTTGTGACCTGACGGTGTGTGAGGATGTGTGTGAGTGTGTTACCTCTCTGTCTGGTTTATGTGGTTTCATCAGCTCCACGACCTGTCCTTTTCTGACCAGAATGACCTGGGAGTCTCCCAGCCAGGCCACATACAAAGTCCGACCTCGCAGGAACGTCACCACCCCCGTCGTGCCGCAACGCAGGTGCTGCACAACACAGGACACATGTTACAGTAATCAGCTCACACACCACACAGCAGCAGGTGTGGGTTTTAGTGATATTGAGTCATTTAGAGGTGAACATAGCTGTATTTATGTCTGACAAACATCCTCAGATGCTGCTTTTATTTATCATTGTTGAACTATTTCAGATCAGTGGTGGGATATAATTAAGTACATTTACTCAATAACTGTACTTAAGTACAAATTAACTTGTACTTAACTTAAGTATTTCTTTCTATGCAGTTTCATACTTCTACTCCACCACATCTCAAAAGGTAAATATTTTACTTTTGTAATGCACAGTTGTCAGATGACAGTGTTTCATCAAACCCTCCCTATCCAAAACATCAGGTGAATGATACAGCACAGGTAACAAAACATCTGAAAAAATAAATGAAATATACATTATATACAGAAATGAAAATTCATATAAAAATAAAGATAAATCAGGGAACACACATACAGATAAAGAGGTATATTCAGCCAGAGGATTTATGGAAGAAAGTTGCATAATTTTCCATAATATATGGATATATCTGTATCAGTTATCGGCCAAATGAGTTGTTATATATTAGCTATCATATACATATTAGATATCAGCAATAAAAAAAACAAGATTGTGTATTCCTAATCTGAATACTTCTGCCATCACTGCAAAATCCGTTGGCAATAAAAACAGATCAATAAAATCTGACTGCACATGCAGATGGTTCCGTTTTGTCCAGCTGCAATCTGATTGGCTATTTGATACGTACCTATTGTTGTCTTCATTAGCTCGTCAATGGCAAACGTTAGTTTTTTATTTTTCATTTTTATTTTAAGAAGATAAAAACTATTGTCGCCTTGAACAAAGTGGATTTTTCTCTACAGAATTATAATTTTTAAATCTGCAATTTAAAAAACAAACAAACAAAAAAAACGAGCCGAGCAGCTGAGAGACGGTTACAAACCAGACCTCAGGTAAAAATAATCTCATTTAACGTCACGTGGTTACCCGGGACAAAATGGCAAACTGCTAGCTTGTTAGGCTGACTATTTACACGTGAAACCTCCAACCTGGAAAAAGTTATAATAATTCTGTAACATAATTTTAAATACATAATTATGATAATATAAATATAGTTTTTCCCTAGCTCTTTAAAATGATTTTCTAAATCTATTTATTTCTTGCAATTTGTGGGACATTTCTTACTAGGTTGCTCATTGACTTATTCCAATGTTCTTAAAAGAACTTGCACCAATGTGCTCGAGGTTCAAAGGTTTAAATACTTGCAAAAGGCGTCAGAAAGTAGCACAAGTGATGTTGCTTCAGGTTACAAAGGTTTACTTAAAAAAAATACTCACACTGATTTATCAACTATTAAATTAGTTGGTAATTAATTAATCATTGCAGCACTTCCAGAGGTGTAAATATAGACAATGCAGGCAGTGCAGTTGCACTGGGGCCCAGTGGGTGGGGGGCCCTTGTGAGTGATTCAACTTGCCAACTCAGAAATACGCCTATGTTCAAAAAACAGGGCCGTACACATGCCATGTTTTTTGCCCTTGAGAAGGCAAACCCATCTCTGTCAATGTTTCTTTTCTTTTTTCTTTTTACAAAATTATATGTTCATTTTACATAAACCATATAAGCTTTAAATTAACTTAAAAAAAATCTATTTAAGTCTGTATTCAGGTCTGTACCTGTAGCTGTTTCAACGTAAAATCTGGCAGTAGGGCCTGTCATCATAGCATGCACGTGCACTGGGGTCCATCCTAACTACCGTATGCCACTGAGTCCTCCATGTAAATCTGCCTCTGCATGGATCAGACAAGGTTCACACGGTCATGGAAAGTTTTGGACGAGTCATGGAGTTTTGTTGTGTGTGTTACGAAATTGTTGCAGTAATCTTCGTGGATACACTTCCACATATTGTAACATAACGGTAAATTTGTTTTCTGTTGTTGAAGACGTAGCTCTAAAATGCATCGATGTGTGACAACGTTTTGTTTACCAACACGTACGTTTCTCCATTTTGAGTTTGTATCTGATGTGTTTGAAAAATGCCGGGCAAGTGGGGCACATTATCGTGAGTTCTTGAGAAGTCATGGAAAAGTTTTGAACTGTTGTCCATGAAAATGTGTGGGAGTCCTGATCAGAGTACACCCCAGGCTCGACAAAGTGTGGCGGCACCTCACATCACAAAAACAGACACAGCGATGAGGGAGGCCGTCTTACTGGCTGTCACCCTCACATTTCTGCTCACAGTGGAATCATAGTGCATGTCTGTGTTTTGCATTTAGAGTAAAGTGGTCCTGCCATCTTTGCCATCATGATTGAGACAGTGAAGTGAACCTGCAAGGTCTTTTCCCCCCACAAAAATTGTCTAATATTTTGAGCCAAAGCACACTTTAACCCTTAAATTGAGAAATTAAGTAGGAATATAGAAGGAAACAGAAGGGATTGTTGGCTATGGTGTAAACCAGGATGAAAATCTGACTTCTGTCTTCCTATCTATGTTCACAGATTCCTGAGGCCAGACTATCTGGAGGTTTCCAGCAGCCGCAGTCCTGAATGGAGAGCAGTTGCCCAGAGCTTCGAGGAACAGTGGCATTTTCCCAACTGTTTGGGTGTACTGTTTTTTTTTTTTTTTTTGCTTTCCGTTTGATCTGAGGGGATGTGATGCGTGGTCAAGAACAAGCTTTCAGGATGTCGAGCATCTTTCTGAGAGGATTACCAAACATGAGAGCAGCAGGACAACAAAGTAAAAATGGGAAGAGAACAGATACTCGCTCCGTCAGCTCAGCGTTAAACTGTGGACAAACAGGCAGTGAAGGAACGTGACGTTAAAGTTGGAATCTCTTCTTTCTCTTCTCACTTTTTACTCCACTTCATTATTCTAACGGCTTTAGTTACAAGTAACTTTACAAACTAATATGTTATTAGTTGATTAATCAGTAAGCTCATGTAACCACTGTTCATACTGTGGAGAGTTTTATTAGTAAACTGTAACTATAAAATGAAAGGATGTTTTGCTGCCTCTCACAGCAGCTGGAGTCTGAGAAAAAATAACTTCATTCACTGGGCCGACTGCCGGCAACTTTTAAGGTGGAACATTTACTTGTTGTAACTCAATGTATGAGTTGATGACGTGAATCCATCAGCACACCTTAAATTTCAATATGACAACTTTTTATGACAGACACTTTTAGTAATGAGTTAAGCCTTTACATATATTAATTTTGACCGAATTATGTGATGTGCATATATTCTAATCCTAACTGTCTTGGAGCGTTGTTCCTGTGGGCTACAGCAACACTAAACCCCTGAGCTTGCCTGAGAAGGACTAAATGCACAAAGCTGCTATTTTTAAATATCCCATGGAGAGAGACTCTCACTGCAGCCTGTTCTATTTTGTTCTGAAAATGTTAGGCGTGCAGCCTCGTTCTGTGGACGATAAACCAGGTGCAGACTGATAAAAGTCTTGACAAAATGTCTGAAGGGTTACTGTTGGTTCCAAAGGTACTATACTGAAAGTGTTTGGTGGAAATGGGGCTTTAGTTGTAGTATTACTGTGCACTGTGTGGCAGGCTTACTGTAGCAGTGGTGGCAGTGGTGACATGGCAGTAATCTCAGTAATAGTAGTAGCCATAGAAGTAGTAGTAACAGTACTCATGTCATTGTTGTTATTATTTGCAGCTGTTGTAGTAGTAAAACTAGCTGTGGGAACATTAGCAGAAGCAGCAGTAGTAGTGGTATATATTGGTACATAAATACATTTCAGTTAATATAATACATGATAACTTTTCATAATCCCCAGGTCTCCACTGCTCAGACTTCTGTGCAGTTCAGCGTAAATAATAGTGAATGTGTTTTGTCGTTTGCAGGTGAGGTTACCTCTCGTGAAGCCTTCTTCACAAATTGTTCGTCCGTGGCTTTGAAGGCTCTGCAGAGCGCCTCGATGGGGTCCTGGCCGAATGATTCCTGATGGACTAAGTTGACATGTAGGTGGTTGGCAGCGAAAATGGCAGCGTCCACACCGCCGTGACCGTCAAACACAGCAAAGTAAGCCTGTTCCTCCTGATCCTGAGAGACAATTGAAGCCAGTCAGCAGGGTTGAATTTACACATTACCCCGTTAGGACTGCAGGTCTGCAGGTAGGAAATATAGTGATTGGAAACAGACACTCAAAACAAATATGCACATGGTGAAAATGACAAAGTTCTTTGCATTAAAAATGATATAATAGCTGTGTAACAGTGACTTTAATGCACATCCTGACAACAGGAGAATGCACAATGAAAGAAACCCCACTCACCTCCAGTTTTACCTTTATACAAATACAAATACAAGAACACCTGCAGGCAGGTATGCTGGGGTCAGGACACAACATTTAACCACAGGCACATGAATCAATGCAGACTGTTAGGATGGATTTCTGTGCAACTGGTCGTCAAAATAGACAAGATAGATAAGTTACAAACTGAGTAGAGAGGCTCCCCCACAGCCTTAATAAGAAGTGTCATATGATCACTTTCTCACTAATCATAAAAACATCATATTTTTGCAAGAATGTGAAAAACTAGAATGTTCAATTACAGACTGTATAGGCTCATTGGGGTTATGCTACAGTACTACGTCACTGCATATTGAATACTATTTAAATTTCATTATGTGAAAATTCACAAAAATGTAAAGAAGAAGATGTACTTCAGTAACACCTGATGGGAAATTCAATTGTTTCACCCTGTTGTCACACACACACACACACACACACACACAGGCCTGAAATACACACACATGCACAAATGGGACCTATACATGCGTTAAATGGAGAGATGTCAGAGAGCAAGGGGGCTGCCCTTCGACACGTGCCCCGTTGTTGTTGATCTTTATGATTTTTTTTTATCACTTAAATAATTACTATTCCTATTATACAGCGACTGTTTGACTGGTCATCAGTCATTTGAATGTGCTGTCAACCATCACTGTGACTTCTGACAGCTGTCAATGAGCTGAGGATTGTGGGTCATGATAACCAGAAAAGCATGCTGGCTTGCAGACTGCAGAATGTAGAACATCCTGGTATGTTTGGCATACTGCAATCAGTGTTCCTTAAAAAGTCTTAAGTATTAAATTTGATTTTGAAAATTTAAGGCCATAAAATGTCTTAAAAAGTCTTTAAAAAGTCGAAACTTAGAGCAACAGAGACATGTCTGAATACCTAATCAAATCTACCTATTACTGTATCTTGTTATATGATTAGTGATATGATTTTATTACTTTATTACTGGTAATGCAGTCTCACTTTTGTTGGTACTAAATGGTATTAATTTTTCTTTGTTGAGGTCTTACAAAGGTCTTGAAACGTCTTAAATTTGACTTTAAAAAGTCCGCAGGAACCCTGTGCATTTGACATACTGTGTACTGGGACAGTGAATCTTGTGTGGCATACTACATGATATGGTAGTGTGTGTACTGGCATGCCCATGTAGTGTCTGCAGGAAGCCGACCAGTGAGCCATCTCACTTCCTTCTAATCTCTGTTGAGTTACACCTGTGCTGCACCGACCAGGGAGGAAATACAAATCAGTACAGCGACGCTGCCAGTCAAAGTTTTCACAAATCAGCGTTTTTTGACCACGCTTAGTAGCTTTTCAAACTTCTGGGCAGCAGATAGTGTGTTATGGTTCTGTGCTTTGATAGCATTGGTAGCTCTTTATTATTAACAAAAACTGAGACAAGGTGTTGTATAGGCTGCTGAAAGTGTCTGACCCATCTTTAAATCTGGCCCAGTTGAATTTGTAATTGAATAACCTGGTTGAGATCTATTAAGATTGACTAAATGGATTTGTGATTTATTAAATAACTGTTTACAGTAGATGGTTTTATGAATTATCCTCAAAGCTGATCTTAATGACAGTCACAATGATTTATTATGAATTAGTTTTATCTGCCTCCACTGTACTCAGCAGCTCAGTGTTGTATTGTTTTGTTTTTCTTTGATATTGTCATAGTCTTCGTAATTTGCTGCAAGCAGCAATTAGCAGTGGTCCTGACACAAAGCACTGAGACCTTTTTGTTTTTGTTCCATGCTGTTTTTGTTATACTTCAACTCTACCCTAAAACTACCTGAATTTAAGAAATCATCAGAAATCAAGCTGCCAAACTTGGAAGACAGATTCAAAAACTTGAAAAGGTATGAAGATGTTTCTAATGGCGTGAGGAGGTCTTATCTACCTGAATGTTGAAGAGCGTGTTGAAGTCAGGGATGATGACGTGTTTGTCCTCCATTTTGCGCCTCATGTTCTTGATGGCATGGATGGAGGTTTCGTAGTACGGCTGTGGACGGCGGCGGAAAGGAAGCTCCTTCAGCCAGAGGCAGCACATCTCAAACAGTCTGTTGAACACCAGTCGGGCCAGCTTTACAGACTCCATCTCTGACACACACACACACACACACACACACACACACAGAATCAGTCAAAAAGCTTCAGTGTACAAGGCACAGTGTAACTAAGACATAGCACTTAGTAGTGCAGTCCACTTCTGTATGTTCAGTGTGTTCCGACTACTTTGAGTTTCACCAATATAAAATACGACTACGCTACTTCTTTGTTATACGAGCCCCTTTTACACTGTCTCTTCAAGGCAGGAATTTTAAGCCGTTATTCCGTCTCGCCGGGGAGACAGGGTAGTCTTGGTAGCATCAAGACGGCCTTCTGGTTCCACTTTTGAATGACATCACAGACTACCACTGACTGCTGGTGTTGAGAGATCATTTCTCTCACGCAGGCGCAGAATGCACGTACTGGCTGTCTTTGCCAAGTGTCCAAGTATGGCTGAAAGTGAAATTATTACCGACTCTGCGGTGGCTCCACAAAAAGGAGCAGCTTCAGTAGTGTGGAATAAACTGTGGCGTCCTGAATGTTTTATGAACAGCCCCGGACTTCTCAGACTCTTTTAGTGACTTACCGCTCAAAGGGAACTCATTCAGCGGCTCCTCTGGCAGCAGCACAGCGTGTCTCCCTCTCCTCTCTCGCCATGCCTCAAGGGATTTTGTCATAAACCTTTGGTAATGTAAACCTATGTGTAAAAACTCCATATATGTGAATGTGTGATAGTTGTGGTATCATAACAGCCTGTCACAGGTTACAGTGTGATGATTAGAGGAGAAATGGCAGAGCATAAAGGTCCAGGTGGGAATATATATAGATCCCAGGGGACATTTTTGTATTTGTGAGCTTTAAATATTGTGATATTATTTTAGGGCCACCCCTTGGTGACACAACAGTTGGCTTTCGTTGCCGCTAGTTTTTTTTATGTTGGTTTGGTGTGTCGACTGTTGACAGGACACCTCAAACTGCACACAAGGTCAATTATGACTCTTTCTGTTATGGAAATCTGATCAGTGGAGATTTTATATTTATAAACTTTTCCTCAAGTCCTTTTCCTCAAATCCGTGACCTCATCACAGTGTAATGTCTGCGAGCCAAGCAAGAGCTTGTGTGCAGCTCCAGCAGGAGAAACACTACTGTATATATTCAGTGGGCTGCATATTGCAGAGGTAGCCCGGGCACTCAGAACTTTTTTGGCATATGTGCCAGGCGAGCAGTTCTCATTGGACTGAATAGCCGCCATCTTGGGGTCCTTTATCAGGATCTAATAATACATCCACGGCTGCTCCTGTCAGAGCTACAGAGGTCAACATGGAGAATACCAGTCTGTGGAAGGACGCCAAAATAAACTGTGCAACGGAGGAGTTCTGCACTGCAACATAACAGCCTAACTGTTTGGAGGGTGAAAATGATGGACCTGCGCAGTTACTGACACTGAGGTCGTTACCACGGCAACCCATGCAGATAGGTTGGTGATGTTTGGACACAAATCTGATCTGATCATTTGCAAATAACAGTGTGGGCAGTCTGTCTTCAAGATCTGATTTGAGAAACAAATCAGATTTGCCTGCAGTCTGACTGTAGCCTTGAGATATAAATGTGTCTCTCATATTCTCTCATGTGGATTTAAACAGCTGGACAGTCAGACGACGGTAGTTAGAGGGATCTTAGGAGGTAAATTAAACTGAAAGGTTTTAATTTAGTTTTTCTACTGTGTCAAAAATTTAATTTTGAAAAGTCCCCATCCCGAGTGACCTGTTTTACTTTCTCAGAGAGGCAGATGAAATTCACTGTCATTGAGAAGTTAGTGGAACAGAGGCAAGCCCCGAAGTGGCATCAGGGCTTCATCTCTCTGTGATAACAAAGACACAGGCTGTGCATGCACATGGGCTTGACCTACTAATGTTAGCTGCAGGTATAATAGTCTATCCTGCCTTTGCCAATGTCCTCTCTCTCACGCTGCTCTCCCAAATATGGTATCAGCGAGACAGATACAGACCAGCCTACATCGTGTCCCATTTCCTCACCCTCACCCCTCCACCTTCTAAAAGTACATGCACATCAAACAGTGCCCCAACACTAAACTCCACCCCCTCGCTTCATAATGAAGGTGTTTGAGCGCTGCATCTGGCATCAAGAGCTACACATAACACCTCGCAAACAGCTGAAGGAAAAACAACAGTAGAGTGCAGTGAAGCAACATCAAACAGGCTGTAATCGGCTGTTACACAACACAGTAAGTTCTTACTAAGAGAAAGCGCGCACGCGCACACACACACACACACAGTGAGGTGTGTTTTGCCACTGACAGGCTCAGATTGTTATTCTAAGTGTCTGACAGCATTTTTGGAAAGGATCCCTACAGAGATAGAGCTCTTTGTTAAAAAATAAGATCCCCAGACTTGGCACTTTTTGGACCAACACTTTTGGTGTTTACTGTACGATGTTTAAAACAAACATTGGGGCACTAGTGGCTTAGTGGTAGAGCAGGCGCCCCAAAGCATTCACCTCATTGATTGTCAGATGCCTTATTCTTCTCTCTTGAAAGGAACAAATACCCCCAAAAGTCACGAGATGGAATAGAGACTCTACCGCAAACTTCAGATAATCAGATACACTCATGGGCCCTGATCACACAGAAAGCGTTTCAGTAGCTGTAGACGGCTTTTTGTAATTGATTTTAATGAGAATGAAGCTATTTGCTCACTGTTTTTGTGTTGCTACACATTGGCAATGTATACTGCTTACAAATACGTGTCAAATGAAAACTCGATAAAAATTGTTTAAATAAAAAGGAGCAAGATCCTTTTTGTCTAACCAGGAACAGCTCCGAAACCGCTATTGCCAGACCCACCAGACTCCATTTAAATAATCAGTCATTTTAGTGTGTATATAGCCAGTATATTTTTACATCTAACTGAGTGAAATAATGGTTTATATCAGCCAAAAATGAATTAGTGATTGTTGCAACAGTGGAGAGAAGAATCAAGACAGTTTTTGTGAGTTTTATTTTGTTTCTATCAACTTTAAATGAAATGTGTTTAATGCTAATAAAATTACGGATTATTTACATGGAGATTGGTGTGTTTGACGATAGTGATTTCAGAGCTGTTTCTAGTTAAATAAACAGATCTTGCTCTCAAATAAAAGGTCTATCTCTGTAGGGATCCTCTCCACAACGCTGTCAGACACTGAGTAACAATCTGAGCCTGTCAGTGACAAAAACACACAATTTTAGAGGACGTATATTGAGGTGGCACATGCCACCATTGGTTCCATTGGAGCATGTTTTGCAGCTGCAGGCTGCAGCGCTCTCACTCAGTACTGGACCAATGTCAAAAATTGTGTTTGATGTGAAAATATGCCGGTTCCATACACTCTCAAATTTGGTTTGGTTTCGGTTTGGCGATTGCAATTTCAATGCTGTTTCTGGTTAAACAAAAAGAATCTTTCTCTTTAACCCAAAGCTCTGTCTCTGTAGGGATCCTTTCCATGATGCTGTCAGACACAGAACTACAGTCTGAGCCTGTCAGTGGTAAATTGACAGTGCATATTGCCACTTATATATATTTCAGCCCGTTTCGCAGCTGCCAGCTGCAGCGCTCTCACTCAATACTGGACCAATTTCAAAAATTGTTGTCTCCATTAGTCACTTAGACAGAAAACCATGGGAAAACAAGGTCTAGGTTGAAAATGACCAAAGTTACGCTTTAATTAATAACTTCATAAGCTCTACATTTGACGTGTCTTACAGGATAAGGCTGTTTGTTGTTGTCAATAAACCCCATGAAAAGACCAAAACCTCCCTCAATACTTCCCCGCCCTGCCTGTGACACTCCAACCCATTCCTACTGAAGACATAAATCTTTAAAAACAGGTTACAAATATATAGTTTAATTTTTAATTCACTTTTAAAGGCTCAGTAATTTCCATAACAGCTGGCAGCTGCAGTTTTTGGCAAACACTACTCACACAGGAGTAAATAAATAGTGCATTTGTTGTCTCTTTCAGACACACACACACACACACACACACACACACACACACACAATCATTTGATCAATTGTTGATACAAACATGCTGATTATTGCAGCTTTAACAGACTGCTGAATATAATTTGTATATATATTTGCATGCTGTATAAAGTTGCGAGTTCAACATTATCTCAGCCTTCAGTCTGCTCGATGTATTTATAATAGTATTCAAACTACCTCTTTAATAGGAAGATGATTAAAGGCAAAGCCGGATGGTTATTTTAATAATAATCTGTTGGCCTGTGAGTTTGTTATGGAATCTACTTTCTGCCCTCTAGTGGTCAAATACCACTTAATGCAGCTCTGCGGGGGAGAACTGGGACAAAGCCCTGGTGGTTAGATGCCTGCTGTGTATGTGCGTGGGAGACCTAATTTGTCTGTGCCTCTGTGTGTGTGTGTGTGTGCATGCAAGAGAGAGAGAGAGCAGTCTCGTGGGCTCCTCGGGGACTCACGTGGTAATGGGTCAGCTCCATCTTCTACGGTCTTATTGAGGTGGTGGATGGAGAGGTCAGACTGCAGGAGGCTGTCTGCTGTGGCTCTGGCAAGGGCTGCAGCCAAGGAGCACGGGCAGTTACTGTGGTGGGGAGAGACGACACAGTTATGAATGGGTCAGAAACAAAAATCATATTATGATAATCCTCTGCGGAGATCAACAATGCCTACACTTGGGTACATGCACATAATCATCCGTTTTTTGCCCTTATTCCAAAAAAGACAATATTCCTACTAAGCTGTTCACATGTCTAATAAAAATGGATATTTCACTAATATTCCCGTTTACATGCAGCTGTGCAGTCTCCAGTTAAAGAGCCCTTACATGTCGTTCATCATGAGAAACTATAGAAAGAACAGCTGGAGCCGCTTGTCTTTTTGCTTCTTTGCATTAAAATACAGTTTCCTACTTGTGGCGAACTTGTTGGACAGTCAGTACGTTTTCATGACATTAGAGCAAATCGATTTATTGTGTTGGTGTGACTAGAACCAGACTTCTAAAATACATGTAAGTAGGGCTGCCCCCTAATAAGTCGACCAGAAAGGTAATTAGTTGGCAAGATTTCATTGGTCGCTTAGTCCCAGAAAAAGAAATTAGTTGGTTGAAAAGATATATACTCATCCCTAATTATAACCTTTATATAAAGTTAAAGTTCACTGAGGTCGCCCTAACAGGGAACAATCACACAAAACACATTTTAAAAACAAAGACGATAACCTTAAACAGTTACATATCAGTGGTTTTTGTTTATGGTTTTGATCTGTGCAAAGGTTGGAGGATCTGTGATGTGTGTTGAAGGTTGTTCCAAGAATCAGGAGCAATAAAGGAAAAGGTAGACTTCCCAAGGTCAGAGCACACTCGGGGGACTTGAAGCACAAGCCGGTCATTTCAATGAGTTTTAAAGGGGCCAGAGTTCCAATCCAGTATTTTAGAGATGTAAGGTGGCAGGTTTACAAGGCTTTGTAAATAAACAAATACGGTACCAGCGTTTATTATATCTTCCTGCAAGAGAGGGCCAACCAACCTTATAATACAGAAAACAATGCTGAGTATCATGGCTATCACCAGGAATGAATCTAAGGGCAGAATGATAGACCATGTTGAGGGATTTACGAATGGAAGCAGCAGCATGTCCATAAATTACATTACCACGGTCAAAAACCTTTTTCTGTTTCTGTACAAGAAGTTAATTTTCTGTGTCAGTTTACTCACAAGATTAACATTATGGAGGTAAAGTGTAAATTTCTCATCACGCCAGATGCAAAAGTAGTTATAATTCATAACTCTGTCAACATTAGATCTATTTGCAGAGGTTATACGCTCATTATTGTAATTAATGTCTCTGGCAAGAGAACAGCATGGATATTTGCTTTTGTTTTTGTTAAACAGGGCCTTAAAAGGAGAGTTGCAAATTGTCAATGGGTAGTTGTACACTGTCAGCAATAAAACACAAACCTGTGTCATCAGCAACTTAACAAAAGTTGAAAATGGTAAAAAAAGACAGGACACAAAATTGACCCCTGCAGAACACCTTAGCTAATTAGAAGTACTTCAAATGAAATATATAAAGCATGTTAAAAAAAAAACATGAGTTGACCAAAGGGCTGTACAGTGAAATGACACAACATGGTAACAGCAAAACGTAAGAGAAGTAAGTAACCCAAAAACATGCACAAATAAAAAGAAAATAAAGCACAGAATAGTGAGATCTGAAAATAAAATATTAAAGATAAAACAGAAACCTTAAGGACCGTCAAAGGCCTTAGAAATCATGTGTCTCTTCAGCATAGATTTAAATGTGTCCACAAAAGGGGGGCACTTAATTGAAAAGAATATGTTGTGCCAAAGCTTTGGGGCAACTACTGCAAATGCACAATCACCCTCTCCCCTTAGTCTGGATCGCAGGACTGCCAGGAGCAACTGGTGTGAGGATCTGAGAGATCTAGTGTTGGAAAGGGGGCAGTGGAGCTCAGCGATGTACTTGGGTGTCAAGCCATGTAAGGCTTAAAAAACCAACAATAAGACCTTAAACTCAGACCTGTAGTTGACTTGCAACCAGTGCAGGGATGCCAGTACAGGTGTGATGTGGTCTGTTTTCCATGTAACAGTTAGAAGTCTGCAAATACTCAACAGTAACAACAAAGTACAGCTGATGGGAATGTCATCAGTTTTGCAGGTATTTGGTCATAAAAACCTGAAAAGCACCAAATTTTTTGGGAGAAATTTAAAAATTAAACCAGAAGATGGCATGAGATGAAAAGCCATGGGATCTGTAGCCTACAGTTCGGCTTTATCTTCTAACTATCTTTGTCTTTTTAACCTGTTGTTGCTGCTGAGTCAGTTTGACATCCTGGATATATCCTTCAAACACAGACTGTAGACCCCTCTGTCTGCTTCTCTCTGGAATCACTCTTTCATTTTTCCAAAAATATGATAATATTTCTTCAGGGAGTGCAGTTAGTGCAGTTAGTTACAGTGTGGGCTCCATGCTTACTGCGACAGCTTGCTGGACTGTCACAAAGGGCCAGGGCTTAGCAAAAGGTCAATTATCTGAAAAATTAGTACTCACAAAGCTGAAAACAGGTCGATTTTTCTTTATGTGTAGTTATCATTATGAAACAACAAAAGATGTATTCAAACATAAGCAGCAGTCAGGCTGATATAACCTGCACACAGTAATATGAGCAGTGGGTAAAGACCACACAACATTTTCACTGAATGATGGAACAATCCAAACCCCTCTGATCTCTGCATACCACATTTCAAACTTTTTAACTTTACTCTTTTAGGACTTCCTGTTTGACCCACAAATATCTTGTCAGCTGGAGCGAGCTGGTGCCAGTAATTTGTGCCTTGGAGAATTTTAAAATGATATAACAGCTCTTTTTGAGAGCAGCGGTACATCACTACATCTGGCTGGGACTGTGTGTGCGACTGTGCTGGAGGAGGGAGGTGTGTCCCCTCTTAAGGTTAACGAGAGTGTTAGGGAAGAGGAAGAGGAGGAGGAGGAGGAAGAGAGGGGTCGTTTGAAGGACTGAAGGCTGGCTGTAAATGAGTCACCGAGATAACTGGGTCACCTCCAGATGCAGGTAACCATGGTAACCCAACTTCAGGATGCTGTCCTTTACAATCAAATTAAGTTGAAAATAAACCTGAACTGACGTTACGGCTCCTTAATCAAAGAATGCTGCAGTGCTGTAGTATAGAAATATAAAAAAAATACTTATTGATGTCTGTGCTGAATAATAATCTCTCCTCAAATATTTTTATTCTTGATACACGTTCAACAAAGTAATGTGGAGCTTTGATTGAAAGCCTTTTTGGGTTACATGGCTCGTTCATGAGTCAAATAACAGGTCAAAGATCAGGTCAGGGAAGCAGGTCAGGTTAAAGTCAGGAGAGAATACCCAAGTCTGCGACTTTTTAATTAATTAAATTGGGACAACAGGTGGGAGATAATGAGTAACACTCAGAGAGTACTTCCCCAAAACTTCCCCAAAAGCAGATAAACGTGGGAATAAACTCGAGTAGCCACACTGTCTGCTCTGTGAGGATTTACACCAGAGGTGGGACCAAGTCATTGTTGTGCAAGTCACGAGTAAGTCTAAACTCTTTGCACTCAAGCCCAGCGCCCAAGCCCACAATAGCACAGGCGACGTGTGCAGGCTACGTGTGTAGGGTCAGCACACAATCCTGCTTTAAGCTAAGCATTAGCTTGTTAACAATGTTGATATTAGCTGTGACTAACTGTTCTTTGTGCAACTTCAAATGCTCCACAAAGTTGTAACTTGTACTTTGATGTTTGAAATTTTTAACCTACATTTTTGCATCTGCAATTTTTTTTTTTACAAACACATGTTTTGTATGTAACTAAACCTTGTGCTATTTGTAGCCTGTCAAGTACTTTACAGTCAAAAGACTCAAGTACAAATAAGGTCACTTGGTTGTGGTTCAAGTCAAGTTGCAAGTTATGGTTTGCAAGGCTTGATTTTCTCAAGTTGAAGAAAGTCCACACCTCTGATTTTTGCTAAATGCTCATGCAGGTATGCTAACACAGTGTTAACAAACTAATGTTTAGAGAGTACAAATGTGTTAGTTTAGCATGTTAGCATATATGTTAATTAGCACTAAACACAAAGTACAGCTGAGGCTGATGGGAATGTCAGTACTTTTGCATTAGTGTTATGGTCATACATTGCACAGTTTAAAATTTGACCTGATGATGGCATGAGTGAGTTATGACCGTAGACTGAATCACACTGTTTGTTTACAATAACGTCTGGGTAGAAACCCTGAATTGGCACCGAGCAAATGCTGCTTGAGTTGATTAGCTTTTAGCCACCTAAAAAAAAATCAACATCACTTTAAGTGCATGTTATATTAGAATGTTTCCGCTACTTTACCGTACAGTCAGACAGCTTTTTCTGACGGGGAACGAAAGCTGTTCTCACAAAGCCACCAGAGTCCATTGACAAAATAGGTCATTTTACTTTGCAGTTTACTTTACACTGGAGTTGATGGTCTACCACTACTCGAATTGGTTAGTGTGTGTGGTAAAGGAGAGAAGATATTAACAGATTTGGTTTATCAAAGACAGAAGCAAAGCAACACAGTACATAAAATAAGGACAGCAGGAACGTTAGATAGGTCGCTCCACCGTGTGTAACTATATATCTTTAAATGTTACAGTTATGGCTGAAGATGACAACAGAAATAAACAGGTTTGCAGATTTCACATAACTCTACGACTGGAATAAACTGCCAGTTGTCTGCCTGAGAGGGGCTGTTGTTTACAGCGTGATGGTCACAGTGACTCGGTGTATTCATCCTGAGGGACTCATGAATGTCTGCTTAAGATTTCATGAAAATCTGTTCAATAGTTTGAGAGATATTTTATTCAAAACCACAAATGTGAACCTCATTGTGGTGCTACAGGAAGAGTTAGAGGACCTTCAGAGTCATTGGGGTTCATCTTTTGGGAACCATGAATGTCTGAATCTATCCAGTAGTTGCTGAGATGTTACAGACTGCTTGCTGTCCATAGAGCTATGCAGCTAGTATTAAAAAATACAATACATGAA